GGTGGGACGTGGCTGGATGTGCGGTGGTGCCATCGTAGTTGTTGGTTGCTGCCGGAGGATCGGGACTTATCAGCGGTGGTCGGGGTTGATCGTCAGCGACTCTGTGCTATTTATAGGGATAAATATATTGGGATTTTTGCCTCGTTTTATCTCAGATCTTTGGTTGTATGATCCGACACCTTCTTCGTTCGTCTTAGTGGGCGACATTTTTGGAGATATCTCAATTGAAATTTCTTAATAGAGAGAGAGAGAGAGAGAGAGAGAGAGAGAGAGAGAACGACTGTATGAGTGTGATCGTGTAGAACTCATCAATCCGAATCTTAAGAAATGTGGTGTATTTACATGCAACAATAGGGACCCTGAAGTGGTGCTAAATTTGGGGTGTTCCAAGTTTTGGCATAACTATGGGTCAAGCCCTCTATGCTCAAACTTGACTAATATTTTAGTCCACTAAAAAAATATTATTTCACTCTTCATTTAGTGTTCAGAATACATTTGAGCCTCCAATAATCATTAATAATTACCCGATTTATCTCTTCTTATTTAAGATATAATGATAATAAATTAATTTAATTATTACAATATAATTAATTGACTTCTTGAACTGAGACTAGTACCTCTCAAAAAATTATTATTATTTCGGAATAAATTCTACCAGCCGGGTTTAACATACTAATTTTTCTCGAGCCCATCTGGACATCATCAGACTATCGGTCACATGGTGACCGTAAATATTCGAACAATGCACCATACACGTAGCACTACAACCCACAACACGTCAGGCTTTCGACCTAGCTGAATGGATCTCACTTTTTGTGTGAATCAAAGAGCAGCTTTTGTTTTGAAAAAAAAAAAAAGAGCAGCTTTTGTATTCACATGTCTATTTATATCTAATGGTTTTAGAGTACACAATAATTAATCGAGATCTAGTTTGTTTACTTGATCCGCATAAAATAAAATATTCTCTTTGGGATTCGTTTAATACACATAGCGTACTAGTGCAACCAATCAATTAAGATAGACTGTACATTTGACATTACTACCGTTCACGATAGCGTTCATTTCCATGTAGGTTGCGAACCTGATTATTTATGTTTTACAAGTAACCAATATGTGATTTTTTGTCCATCAGTGATGAACCACAATATTCGAATGTAAGACATCAGAATGATGTTTAATTAAATATGATTCTCATTTAAACATGATCAGTGTCGACAAAAAACTGGGCTTTCTGCATACACACTAACTGTGGCGGGTTAAGGTATTTTTCGTTTGGTGGGGAGAACTTTAGTCTATATAAGTATTAGGTTGTTTCGTGTTTGTTCGTGTGTTTTAGCTTTTTCCTATTTTTTGGTACTGTTTGTTTCTTTATTCTCCTGTTTGGGAAACCTTTATTCGCCACATGCGTGAATTTTTTTAGTGTTTAGTGTTTTGTGGTTGTTTTGTTTTTAGGTTTATTCTAGGCTACTTTTGGTGTAAACCTCTTAACTAGATTCAGGTTTAACTGGTTAGTTGTTGTCTAGTCTGTAATTATCTCTCAATATATATTAATTTAAATCATGTTGAGCCTAATTGACAGATTCTCACTCTTCGGATCCTGAAATGACGAAAAACTATGCTTTATAATGTTGTTTATATATTTATTTTTGCTCCGGACTTAGGTTTGGTATTTAACATAAATAACTTTTTCAAATTTGATAAGTGTACTTGTTATTTTTTCTCTTAGTACACATTTCCTTCTTAGTTTGGGGAAAAATAACAATATTACCATATTATAATTTTCTCTCATATTTTCTCATAAATTACAATTTACAAATCATTTTCTGCATTGTCTATTCCTCTTTTTTTTTTTCATCAATTAGTCCATCAAAATTTTTAAATAAAAATTTCATTTTAGCAATAACTATTGTCATATATCTCTTAACTCAACAGTCGTGTAGTACATGCATATGATACTAGTATGTTTTTATTATTAAATTCTATCGTCTAAAACAGAATATTAGTTAGAATTTATATGTAGTAAGCAAATATCATCCGAAATAATATCTCAAAGAAGTGTTTAGTATACATAAATGCCTTCATGCAAATTAAATTTTATTCCCAACCATCAACAAACCATCGAGCAGGTTGATCTCTTTCTCAAGTTAAAACACTTTCTACCGAGAATCGGCTGTGCGTCGCACAGTTGAGATGGTGATTATTTATAGTTTCAATAGTAAAAAAACTAGTTTTTATTTGGTTTATTTTTAATCATAGTTAATTTGGAAAAAATGTGGTTGATTTGATGTAGAGTAGGAGAAAAATGATTGGAAGTGATAGTTAGTTAGAATTATGTGAGTGAATGAATAGTGAATTAAAGTTGATGTGATGTGTAATAATGATTGGTTGATATTATTTAATTATATTATTAATATTGAAGATAGTGGGGTAGAGTTAAAAGTTGAGTTAAATTTGAGTTTTGATTGGATTTTTTACTATTGAATTTACATACAATCACACCCTGAGTATTCCTAGTTTAAAATTAATGTAGAGATGTAGAGAGTATAATTATTGCGTGTATATCTTTTTGGAGATGTTACGGTTTTGTTACGAAACTATTTCGTCGGGGTTTGTAATTGTTAGATCAACTATCTCTGACAATTACATGATGATTTAACGGTTACAAACCCCGACGGAATGGTTCCGTAACGGAACTGTAGCATCTCTTTATCTTTTTCGACATTAACTTTTATTCAATAAATACATATGTTTTCAAATTAAAAACTTTATGCTTTAAAAAATAATATGATAAAATATGTAACATTCATTGAATAATTATAATTCTCACTTTTTTATTAAAAAATGACGTGTCGTACTACAAAAAATTGTTATATTATAACGAAAAATCCTATGATAATATATATTCCAATAGAAATTCCAATGAATATTCCAATGGTAGAACTTCTGTTGGAATGCGAAAATTTTAGCGGAAATATTCCGTTGGAATGTATTTTTCGTTGGAATTTTAGATGGATTTTGATGATTCCAACAGTTGTATTTCCATTTGCTTTACACCGTAGAATTTACATCTACGTTGACATATGCAATCTCTGTTGCAGTTTTTTATTTTCACCCCGTTGGGAAATCCACAGTTGGAATCGTCAAAATCCAACAGAATTTTCAATGGAAATCTCATTCTAATGAATTATTTTTGTTGGAATGTCGTAAAAATTTCAATGAAAATAATTATATTAAAATATCCACTAAAATTACTGTTGGAATAATTATATTGAAATATATTTACGTTGAAATTTGGTTGGTTTTCTTTTTTTAAATATCACATATTTTACGTGGCATACTTTATTAGTATTTATTACCTCATGTATAGGGCAGATGAAAAACCTTAGCTCCAGCCAACCCTATCTCAACTTAATTGTCACATCAATAAAGCAATCAAAGACCAACAAAAGACTTCATCTTTACATAAATCATTAAAAATTCTTTCTGCTTTCTCCCATTAGAACAGAGCTTGCAAGTGTTGAAGGAGCCCCACCCACCAACAGTCTCAAAACAAAACACCCACCAATTTTGTGTATTTGACATAGTCCAAATGTACATTTATTACAGGATACGTATCAATACATTATTTGTGAATAACAATGGATGACTCCACGAGTCGAGAGCCGACTTCATTACAAAACCATATATAGCATTATCTGCTGTAATACTTTTGCCAAACCAATAAAAACACAACAACAAGAGCAAAACATACCGCTCTCATTGAATATGTCCAACAACCTTTGAGAAAAACCCCAGAAGCAGGTTTCAGTTCTCCTTCGAACACATGGCGGGGGGGACGCTGAACGTGGCGGCGGTGACGGCGGAGCTGAGATCCACCTTCGCCGCCGGCAAGACCCGGACTTTCCAGTGGCGGGTTTCGCAGCTGAAGGCCCTTCTGAAAATGGCCACCCAACATGAGGGGGAAATAGTCCGAGCTTTGCGTGCTGATCTCAACAAGCCGGAACTTGAAGCTTTCGCTCATGAGGTTCCATTTCTGTCTAAAATAAAAAAAAAAAATCAAATCTTTACATTATTTTCTCCGACCTTATTGATTTTTATTTTCTATTTTTTTTAAATTTTTCCTGTTGGTTCTTGATATGAATGGTTTCTTGGCGATTTCGTCTTGTCCTTTGTACGGGCTTGAGACAAATTTCAAATCTGGGCAGGCTTTGTGTTTCTTGGTGTGATTCGTTTGAAGTTTGTGGGGTTAAAGATTTTGTCTTTTGCAGCATTTAATGTTTGTTATGTTACTGGAGTAATAATGAAGGATTATTATGGTTTTATGATCCTCTTCCCACTTGTCTTCTCTGCCTTTGGATGCCGGTTGACGATTTTATCCTTAGCTATAATACATATACATTATTCTCTCGTTTTTGTGTTATCTCCACTCTCTGTATCAAACTCAGTGTGACAGTGTCTATCTCTGATGTAGATTAACCAGGTGCAAGCTACATGCCGACAGGCATTGAAGGAATTAAACTGTTGGATGAAGCCTAAAAAGGTCATTTCACAGTCCAAATAAAAGTTTAAATAAGTATATAACAACTCAATGTGTTGTTCTCTGTTGCAAATGTGCAAGACTGAATTTTGGTGCCTTAGTGCAGGTGAGAACTTCACTTCTCAGTTTTCCTTCATCAGCTGAAATAGTACCCGAGCCTCTGGGTCTTGTGTTGGTCATCTCAACTTGGAACTTTCCCTTTCGTAAGTCGAATATCCTAATCGTGTCGAAAATTCCCGAAAAGAAATATGACAAAACAAAGTGATTTAGATTGCTTATGGTTATAAATATAATATGCACTTTTACAACTTATTATTCTAAATTTGATTACATTTTTTTTTTTCCGGGCAGTTTTGTCGGTTGCTCCAGTCATAGGTGCGATAGCAGCCGGCAACACTGTAGTCTTGAAGCCATCTGAGGTGGCCCCGGCAACATCCTCGTTACTCGCAAAGCTTCTCGGAGAGTATCTCGACACATCAGCGGTAAAAGTTGTCGAGGGTGCCGTGCCAGAAGCAACTGCATTGCTCGAGCAAAAATGGGACAAGATATTTTATACGGGTAGATGATCGTGTCCTCGAATGTTTTTTGCCTTTGAGAACCTATATAATTAAGCCACAAATTTTCTTTTTCTTTCTTTTGAAAAGGAAAAGGATTCTTTTACTTCTCATAATCTAAATATGACAAGATCAGCTGTGTTGTGGCTCTGCCTTTACTCCAAGGTTCTTGGATATCATTAGAGAGATGTATTTAATTGTTGAATTTTTGTTATTTTTTATATTCTTCTTCTTCTTCTTCTTTTTTTTTTTTTTTTTTTT